TGCCACAAATTCCCCCAGCTGTGAGCCTTCCAACCTTCTAAATATTCCTTTATATGTGGTTCAGAGTTCTGGGACCATCCCCTGAGCTTGCTTGGCTGGGTATTCTGTGTTGTTTTTGCAAAGCTCCTTTACTGCACTTCCACCTGATCCGCCATCTTGTTTGTTCTCCTGTTTTGCAGGTTTATTTTTGTGTTAGTTAACTTTGTACTAACGTTCTAGTCCATATGTTGTAGACAATACTGTGAATATAGCATGGATTGTATTCTTGCTCTTTTAAGAAGCTTATCAATTTAATGGGGAAGCAATACTATACAGTCAAAATAATGGTATTCAACAGCACATGTAAGACTATGTATCATATATGAATATTCCAGGAATTCATATGGGAGTATTATCAAAAGCAGACCCTGAAATAGACATTCAGGGTTTGGGTAAAGAGAAGAGAGGACATCTAAGTGAGGTGAATAGAATATGAAAGGCATGGAAAGGATTGAAATTATTCAACAGACATAACTAAGCTATTGGTGAATTAGAGAATGAGATTAGTTAAATACAGTCAATGAAATAAAGTAAAAAACAGACAACTTGTGGGTCAGTTCTGCTGTGGAGTTGAGTCTGAGTCAGATTGACCTATAGGACAGAGTAGACTTGTTTTTTAGGGTTTGTGGACTTGATGGGAGCAGACAGTGTTCTCTTTCTCTTGCAGAGCTACTGGTGGGTTTGAACTGCCAACTTTGCAGTTGGTAGCCCAATACTTAACCCCCACTGCACCAACTTGTAACTATGTTTTTTAATATTAATTACCTTTAAGTTTTATTTTATATTTAGAGAAAAGGTTGTATTGCAGAAATTATTAAAGGTAACTTTTAGAGAGGAATGCCTCTGCCAAATAGTCAAGTTTTTGGTTACTATCCATATGAAATAAGAATTCATGTTTAATAGTGTTTATCCTTAAGTTTAACATGGAATATAAATATCTCTTATAGGAAGCTTTTGTCCAGTGATCGAAATCCACCAATTGATGACCTAATAAAATCTGGAATATTGCCTATTTTAGTCCACTGTCTTGAAAGAGATGACAAGTAAGTACATTACTTATGAAAAATACTTTATCTTTTGGAGAAGACAAGGTTTCTGGTAGTTATATTGATCTTTAAAGAAAATAGAAGAGAGACTGTGTCGGGTTAAACAATGCAAGCTTCGCAGCAGCCAAGAAGACTGCATAAGAAGGTTCTGTGCATTTTATTCTGAAGAGGCTGTTTTAAACAGTCACTTTAGGTAAAAATAAAAATGCTACTTGGATGTGATTTGAAACAAAGTACTTAACAGCTTCAAAAGGCTGGAGGGGAGAAATGATGACATTTGGGTAAATATAAAAAATTCCTATTGTTAAAATTTGCTTGCTTTTCTCTCTCTGTTTTTTTTTTTATAGTCCGTCTTTACAGTTTGAAGCTGCATGGGCTTTGACAAACATTGCATCTGGAACCTCTGAACAAACTCAAGCAGTAGTTCAGTCCAGTAAGTTGATGAGCAATAATAACTAAGTTGCTATTATTTGAAAAAGAAATCTGTAAAAACTAAACAGTGATTTTCCTAAAATAATATATCTTTCAATATTATAAAATGATAGCTACCCAGTAAAGTAATTGAAATAGGCCAACTTCATTACATTGCTTTAAATTATTTGATTTTTATTTTGGAAAATACATATGATTCCTTATAAATCTGAGAACATTTCCTAATCATAGTTGTTGTTGTTGTTAAGTGCTATTGAGTTGTTTATGACTCACACCGACCCTCTGTAGTATTTCCAAGGAGCAGCTGGTGGGTTTGAACTGCCGACCTTGCACTTAGCAGTCCAGTGCTCGTACTACAGAATAACACCAGAACTCCTAATTATAGTAGTAGATTAAAATATTATAGTTAATGGAGTATTTATAAGACATTGGAAATGTTTTTTCCCCATTTCTATATAACCTCTTAGCCTCTCAAACTATGATTTCTATCATTTAAAAGAAATTTTATAGAAACCTTCTTTCATAAAGTAGTCCTATTGAAAGATGGTGTCAAATTTCTTTCATTATGTTTCAGAAGATGTAGAAAATAAAGTAATAATCTGGGTGTTGTGTTTTCATATAGTCTCCAACTTCAGATGTATTCAAGTTACGATGAACACACTTAGGACTATCCAATTTTTTGTTGTTTGTACATTTTATCATCATTAGTTATATGTACCATGTACAGTGTTGGAGTGCATAATTTCCTGATGTTAGCGTTCGCAGATGTTCATTCGCAGGTGTTCAGTGTTACAATTACTGATCAAAACACTGTCATATAGCAGGCAGTGGCCCTATCTACAGTGAAGTCTGCATTGGTGTCGGTGTAGGAAGTCATAAGGGATAGAGAGTTGGACAACTCTTAACAAATACTAATACATCAGTTATAACTCAACTTCATTGTTACAACACTGTTGCCAACAGATAAAGATCAGAATTATAAAGCTACTGGCCAGCCCCCACTTCCAAGCACAAATTCTCTTATGTGACCTGGAAGCCCCAGAACAAGGCACCTTAATTTTTCCAAGGGTTTTTTCTCTGAAGCCAAGGACCTGCTTAAAGTAAAATTGGTCTTTTATCTCAGAAAAGGAAATTAACTTTAAAATTGGAACTAAATCCAGATTTAACTGAATGAAATCTTAACAGTAATTTGATATTTGTCTATATGTTACACACTATCATTTTACTCCACAATAAGTAATTTCTAGCAGAATTCTTTCACTAACGTTAATCTAATGAAAACAGTTCTCACTGATTGGGATATATTTCAAAGATTTTTGATACGATTTTTTGTGTTTAGGTTCTCGGAAAACAAAGTTCCTTTTTTTATATAGTGTATTAAATGAATAGTACCTTCAACTTTAAATGATAACTCCTTTTTTCCCTTCCTTCAGATGCTGTGCCACTTTTTCTGAGACTTCTCCATTCACCTCATCAAAATGTTTGTGAGCAAGCAGTGTGGGCTTTGGGAAATATCATAGGTTTGTATAAAACTTACACTATTATCTCAACAACTGTTATCATATAATAGGTAATTAAAACAACTATTAGAATTCTAAAAGAAAAATTATTTACCTTTATTAGTACCAATTTTTATAAAATTCTACTTTTCTGTTTTACTAGTTTTACAAAAATTATGCTTAGCTATAAATTCATAATTAACAATGAAAATTTTTGTTGCTTTGATGTCATTATATCAACTTCTAGTTATCTGAATAATTTAAAAATACTTAATATGATTTAGATCTTTTTCCTGTTCCTCCTGTCTTGTGCTGAGGTCTATGTTATTCATCTCTCTCCACCAAAGAACGTAAGAATTAAAAGAGAGACGGCAAAACTTTAACCAGTAGTTTTCTACGTGATAGTTCTGAAAGAGTCTAAAATGAAATTTTTACCTCTTTCTGATTTTGTTGTTGTTGAGTGCTGTCAAGTCAGTTTCAACTTACAATGACCCTGTTGACAACAGAAAAGTACCTGCCCAGTCTAGTACTCTGCTCATAGTTGTTACTGTGTTTGAGACCATTTTTGCAGCCACTGTATTAGGTCATCTCATTGAGGGTTTGCTCTATTTGCTGACCCCTCTACCAAACATGGTATCTTTCTCTAGGGACTGGTCCCTCTTAATGTCCAAATTACATGAGACATCCTTCACTTCTAAGCTACATTCTGGCTGTACTTCTCTCAAGATACTTTTGTTTTGGCAGTCCATAGTATATTTTGTTGTCTTTGCCAACACAATAATTGAAAAGCATCAAGTCATCTCTCTTCCTTATTCATTGTCCAGTTTTCCCATGTATATGGGGTGATTGGATATTGATCTATTTGTGAGAATTCTTATTTTCTTTATGTTGAGGTATAATCCATACTAAAGGCTTTGATCTTCATCAGTAAGTACTTCGAGTCCTCTTCTTTTTTGGCAGGCATGGATATGTCATCTGCATTATCGCCAGTTAATGAATCTTCCTGTAATCATGATGTTTTTCATATAGATTATTTGTTCAGCATACAGATTAAATATGTATAGTGAAAGGATACAACTCTGACTCACAGTCTTTTCTGATTTTGAACCATGCACTATCCTTTTGGTCTGTGAACAAGTTCCACATGAGCATAGTTAAGTGTTCTGGAATTCCACTTTTCACAGTGTTATCCATAATTTGTTAATGATCCACATAGTCAAAAAACATTTTTCTGATTGTCTTAGTTATCTAGAAATACTACAAGTGGATGCCTTAACAAACAAATTTATTGTCTTAACAGTTTAGGAGGGGCCAGCTCTAGGGGATGGTTTTCCTTCTTTGTTAGCTCTGAAGAAAGATCCTTGTCTCTTTTTAGCATTGGTAGGCCCAACATTCCTTGGGGATCTCTGTATCTTGGCATTAATTATCCCCTGAATCTTGATCATAGGCTACCTCATGATGAAATGGTTGAATGCTGATTGGTTGAAGGAATTCTTTTTGTTACAGTGATTCTGTATTGTTTTTATCTTCCCTTGATCTTCCTGCATTGTTCAGTTTTTTTGCCCATAGAATCCTACAATATTGCAACTTAGAGCTTGAATTTTTTTCTTCAGTTCTCTCAACGTAAGAAATTCGAAGGTTTATTCCCCTTTGGTTTCCTAACTCTAGGTCGTTATACATTTCATTATAATACCTCACTTTTGTCTTCTCAAGCTGCCCTTGAAACGTTCTGTTCAGCTCTCTTACTTCATTATTTATTCTATTTGTTTTAAATACTCTACATTGAAGAGCAAGTTTAAGAGTCTTTTTAAGTAACTTTATTGTGAATTGAGTGAAGGTTTACAGAGCAGAGTTCTTTTGACATCCATTTGGTCTTTTGCTCTCTTGTAATAGGATGTTTTTTTATGTACGATGTCATCATAACCGACCTGATCACTGGTCTTAGTGTTCAGTGTTTCACATATTTTTAAGATGGTCTCTAAATTCAGATGTTGTGCTATAGAATAAGCACTGGACCACAAGTTGGTTTGAACCACAAAGTTGACAGTTCAAACTCACCAACTGCTCCTCGGAAACCCTATACAGGGTCGCTGTGCGTTGGAACTGACTCAACAGCACTTCACAACTACAGCATACTTAAGATCATACTTTGGTTCTTATGGACTAGCATTCAATGTTTTTTCAGCTTCCACTTGAAAATCCATATGAGCACTTGATGTCTCTTACATGGGCTCTGGCCTCGTTCAGCAGAGATCTTGAAAGGTCCTTTTTGACAATGAATGCAATGCCATTCCTCTTCAGTTTGTCATTCAGAGTAGTAAACCCTATGGTTGTCCAGTTAAGAAACTAGACTATTTAAGCTCACTAATGCCTTTCTTAAGGCACTCTGGTAGCGTAGTGGTTATGAATGGGACTGCTAATCTCACGGTCAGCAGTTTGAAACTACCAGCTGTTCTGTGGAAAAAATGAGACTTTCTGCTCCCATAAAGATTTACAGCCTCAGAAACCCTGTACAGGGTTGCTATGAGTTGGAACCAATTCCACGACACGTAACAACAACAATGCCTATAGTATCCATTTTGGTTTTGACCAGTTCCATTTACCTGGATTCCTACATTCCATGTACACATTGTTTTGTTTTGTACCTGTTGCCTCTCATTTTGAGTTGTGCCTCATCAGCAAATCCTGAAAGCTTTCTTTGTTCCATCCATATCATTAAGAATTTCAAGAGGCAGTTCTTCCCCAGTTATTTATTTTTTTTGAGTATATTCCATCCTGTGGAATTTATCTTCTGGCACTCTATGTAACAGTGTTCTGCTGTTCTTCATAAGGTTTTCACTGGCCTGTATTTTATTAGTAGAGCACAAGGTCCTTATATTTCTTAGTCCAGAGTCTCCACTGAAACCTGTCCACCATGAGTGGCCTTGCTAGCATTTAAAATACAGCTGATTTAGCATCACAGAAACACAGAAGACACCACAGTAAGATAAACAGATGAGTGGTGGTTGCAGATTTTGGTGCATTAGAATATAGAACTATTATTCCCTGTTATCATAAATTGACAGTAATCTCTGTAGCCTAGTGACAGTCTATCCACTGTCATCAAATCAGTTCTGACTCATAGTGACTCTGTAGGATAGAGTTGAACTATGTTGCTAGGGTTTTGTTGTTGTTGTTACGTGCCATGGAGTCGATTCCGACTCATAGCGTCCCTATACAGGGTTTCCAAGGCTGTAAATCTTTACGGGAGCAGAAAGCCTCATCTTTCTCCCACGGAACAACTGGTAGTTTCGAACTGCTGACCCTGAGGTTCGCAGCCCGATTCGTAACCACTACGTTACCTAGAGTTTTAGAGGCTGTAAAACCCTGCATGAGCAGACAGCTTCATGTTTCTCCTGTAGAGTAACTTGTGGCTTTAAACCTCCGCCCTTTTGGTTAGTAACCCACTGTGCCATGAGGGTTCCTTGTTGACAGTCAGTTGTCATTAAATGCCTTCAAGTAGGTTCCAACTCATACCAAACTTGTTTAGAGTTTCTGAGGAGCAGCTAGCTGGTGGGTTCGAACTACCAACCTTATAGTTAGCAATCCAACTCGTAACTCACTAACACTAAACAAAAATTCTCACAATTAGACCAATAAATTAACGTCATGATGAATGGAAAAAAGATTTGACATTGTCAAAGACTAAAGTATTCAAGAACAGCGATGTCAGTTTCAATACTAATGTGCGCCTGACCCATGCCATGGTATTTTCAATAATCCCATATACATGCAAAAGTTGCACAGTGAATAAGGAAGATCCTAGAAGAATTGATGCATTTAAGTTACAGTGTTGTAAAAGAATATTGAAAGTAGTAAGGACTGCCAGAAGAACTAACAAATCAGTATTGGAAGAAGTATAATCAGAATGCTCCCTAGAAGCCAGAAAAAGAAGAAGAACCCTAATGAAATTGACTGGCACAGTGGCAGAAGCAGTGGGCTCAAGTGTAACAAAAATTGTGATGGTGCAGAATCAGGCAGTGTTTCTTTCTGTTGTGCATATTGTTGAAACTGACTTGATGGCAACTTTCAAAATAGCCCCCAAATAAACCTGGCAGAGTTTATTTTTGTACCAAATTTTAGATTTGAAAGTATTAAAGCTGCCCTTCAGTCTTTGGTTTTTAATTTTACTTGACATCCTAGAATTGATTAGATTACATGGATGCAAAAATAGCATTTTGTTTCTGAATATTTTTCTTATGGAATAGAATTCTCCAGCATGGTTTTGTTCTAGAAATTGCAGTGACACTCCACTCCTGTTGTTTTTAAATGCCATTGAGTCTGTTCTGATTTATAGCTACCCTATATAGGGTAGGGTTTCCAAGGAGCTGCTGTGGATTTGAAACACCAGCCTTGTACTTATCCTACAGTGCTACATCAAGGCCCCACACTCTATTTACAGAAATTAAGTTTGGCCATACTGTATGGCAGTGATTGCTCAAACTTTTAACAAGCTGTCAAATCACCTGGACCAAACCAAACTTCAAGCTGATTCTGACGCATAGCAACTTTATAGGGTTTCTGAGGCTATAAGTCTTTATGGGCATAGGCAGCCTCTTTCTCCCAAGGAGCAAGCAGCTGATGGGTTTAAACCACTGATCTTGTAGATATCAACCCAATTCCTAATCAACATTGCCATCTCGGAGGGCTTATTAAAACATTCCATCCTGGACTCCCTTAGTTTCTCTTTTGGGTAGGCCACAGCTGATTTCTGAGTGGTGTATACAATAGAAAACAGACCTGTTGATTATTTTTCAGAAGTTCACAGCCTTGTAAACCCTATGGAGAGTTGTACTCCACACACCTGTGATTGCTGTGAGTTAGAATTTATTGATAGCAACTAACATTAGGGCTGCAAAGTTGTTTCTACAGATGTTTATAATACTTTTTTGATATTTATTGCAAGAAAGTTTGAGAAAGATAATTCTGCTTACAAAGTGTTTAAGGGACCATTAAGCTTCCAGAGTGTGTATGACATAAAAACTTTATAAAAAGGGAAAAATAAATTTACCTGAATATACAAATAATATATAAAATATACCTTAGCATTATTAATTTCAGTTTATAAACTGGAATGTTGACTTTGTTATTACTGCCTAAAATTTTTATATCATCTGGTTAGAATATAAAAACTGCTTTATGTTTTTTCAAATGTGTATTGTCAGTATATTTTATTGACAAGTTTTTCTTCTTACAGGTGATGGCCCCCAGTGTAGAGACTATGTCATAAGTCTTGGTGTTGTGAAACCTTTACTTTCCTTCATAAGTCCATCTATTCCTATAACATTCTTAAGAAATGTTACTTGGGTTATGGTCAACTTATGTCGTCACAAAGACCCACCACCCCCAATGGAAACCATTCAGGAGGTGAACAAGTTTTTGTTTGTTTAAAAAAAAAAAAACTGGAATGGATTGAATTATGTACATTTTTATTCATGTAATTTTCAATATATGTATATGTTTTTCTCCTCAGATTCTTCCAGCCCTTTGTGTTTTAATTCACCATACAGATGTAAATGTGAGTAAATGCTTCCCATCATATATTGACATAAATGAATATATGTGTATTTCCATAGCTATGCTACTACCCCTGTGGCAAAGGAAGAAGTAAGTGGTACATTAGATATCATGTTCACATATTCTATCAGATTTTCCCATTTTGGGGGGACTGTAACAATATGTTGTTTGTATTTACTGTATCCCAAAAATTTAAAGATCAAATCTGTTGGTGTCCAGTCAGTTTCGAGTCATAGTAATTGTATAGAACAGAGTAGAACTGCCTTCTGAAGTTTCCAAAAGTGTAGTATTTACAGAAGCTGATTGGAGTGACTGTTCATTTGAACAAGTCTTTTGTTCACAACTGAGCACCTTACCCACTGTGCCACTAGGTCTCCTTTTAAATTTTGTATCACAAATTTTAATTTTAGTGTGAAAAATCAAGGTTTTTTTTTTTGTTTTTTTTTTTTAAGATTAACAGTCTGATCTTTTTTACTAAGATCATATTCATGAGCTTTTTATGGAAACTCATTTGGACAGCCTAACCAGTAGGAAGAGCACATATATAGAATGGTATTTTTTGTTTTGAAAGGTAAATGTTTGTGCTTATGGTCATACTCATATCCTGTACAGGGTCATTATGCGTCTTAACTGACTTAATGGTAGTTATTGACAACAGTACCTCTCTTCGTGAACATTTGGGAAAGAGAAAAACTTTTTACCCTGGTCTCAGTGTACTGTGTTAGTGGATATTTCTAACTAAATTAAGATGTAATACTAATCTGGGATCAGAATCATAATTAACATTTTCTGAATGTGGCTAAAAAATGCATATACTGGATAAAGACCTACATAGATGGTGATTCTTATTAATACAATAGAAAAGACCAAGATAATCAGTGAATTGAGGTGACAGACGATTGGAACAAAGAAGAACAAATCTTAAATTAGTTTGTATGGTTAGGAAATACTGAACTGAAACATTATTCAAAGGCTCTTTGGATTTTCATTGTATTCGTTAGATATTGGTAGATACTGTCTGGGCCCTCTCTTACCTCACTGATGCTGGCAATGAACAGATACAGATGGTAATAGACTCTGGGATCGTTCCTCACCTGGTTCCTCTGCTCAGTCACCAGGAAGTGAAAGTCCAGGTAAGTGTGTATTCTTGTTAAAAACATAACTTCTCTTGCCATTGATTAAGGAATCCTGGCTGGCACTATGGGATAATGCACTAGACAGCAAAGTCAGCAGTTCAAACTCACCAGTCACTCCTTGGAAACCCTATACATGGTCACTATGAGTCAAAATTGACTCAGCGGCACTTAACAACAACAATTACTTTAAGCATGGAAGTCACCGATGGACAGTTTCTATAGTTTGAAGTATATTCTTAGCCTAACAACATATCTGTAAAGAAAAAAATATTACTCTTACATCTCCATTGTAAAGATGAAAAAAAGCTAGGTAATATTACTTTAAAAAAAAATTTTTTAAAGTAGGTTACTGATTTCTAACATAGACTGGAGCAGTCCAGTATAGTAACTTGGTGACATCTGAAACAAATATTTAAGCTTTTATTTTGCATAATCTTTCTGGTTTCTTTTATTCTATTACTCTTCATCCTCAAATAACCTGTTTTATGCTCCTCCTCTGCACCTTGCAGATGTAGTTAATTCTTCTTTTCACTGGCACTAAGATAAAGAGTTATGATGTTGGAGGAGAATACTAAAAGTGCCATGGGCTGCCAAAAGAACCAATAGATCCATTTTGGAAGAAGTGCAGCCAGAGTGCTCCTTGGAGGCCAAGATGACCAAACTTCGTCTCTCATACTTTGG